TTATTTATTTGACAGAGAGAGACACAGCAAGAGAGGGAACACAAGCAGGGGGAGTGGGAGAGGGAGAAGCAGGCTTTCTGCCGAGCAGGGAGCCCAACGTGGGTCTCGATCCCAGGACCCCGGGATCATGACCTGAGCTGAAGGCACACGCTCAATGACTGAGCCACCTGGGCGCCCCTTTTCTTCTGTTTTGTAATGTTGTAGTTGAATGAGAACGATCCCCATCATAAGTCTTAGAACTGAATTACAGCCAAATTTAAATGGGATTCGCTCTGGAGAGGAGAATTGGCAAGGACGAATAGCCCCTGGCTGTTGTATTGTAAGATAATTGTAACCATGGCAGTATTTGTTTCCTAATATTGTGCTTCTAAATTTAAGTGACAAGGTTCATCATAGGAAAAAACCCATTTGTATGTTTCTAGTTGCATTTAAATTATCCCAACTTCATTATTCCAACATTAGAAATAGTTGTTTCCTGTGGAGTAGCCGGTTTAGCAATTTGCTTAATCTCCTGTGGAAGTGGTTTTTTGCCTGGGCGAGTAATATCTTTTAATAAAGTGAGTTTTCTGGGAAGGCATACCTAACAACGGTAACTTTGAAAAATCTAGATAAAAGAATATGAGAAGCTTGAGAATGAGGAAGACCGCCTTTGCAGAAGCCGGCAAATTTATGACACTTACATCATGAAGGAGCTGCTGTCTTGCTCACATGTAAGTATTTCTTTCTGTTGCGTGCCTTTAGTTTGGCTCGGAGACAGCTTGCAGTGTTTCTAGAAAGTAAAATAGGAAGAAGCAGCTTAAAAATCAAACAGTACTCCCCCAGGACGGGACCCATGTCTTCTCTTCTGTCATTTGGTTGCTGGTAATGCTGACACAAAGCTGATGCTCCATCTACTCCAAGGATATTTCCAAAAGCGGATTCTTTCACGGCCAAAGAAAAAATGATGAAAACAAAATTGATAACTCATGCAGATCGATGGAAAAAAAGGCTGGTCTCAATTCCAGACTTTCTAAAAGAAATTCAGCTTTATTATTGTTAATTTGGCTGTACTTTAAATAATTAGGCTAATCAAATATTGATCAATAGAAATCTTAAATGGTTTCTTTGGATTAATGAGGAAGAGTAATAATTCTTATGTTAATTTTATTAATAGTTAAATGATGGTGGAAGTATGTTTTTTCCCCCTATAAATCAGATAAACAATCCATTCAGTCATTAGGTTAAACTAGGTTCCTAGGAAATTATTCCGCCAGGAGTGAGTGGAAGAATTAGTGATAAAAATTCACCACATAATGTCTCTGAGAGTTTTCTGAAGGAGTGGCCTCACTGTCCTCGCTGCCGTGTCCAATACAGGAGCCACTGGCCCCCTGTGGCTGTTTAGATATCAGGTTAAATTAATTAAAATCCAGTGGAGTTAAGCATTTCACTCCCCAAGTCCTCGCGAGCGCGTTTCGAGTGCCCGAGAGCTGCAGGTGGCCGGTGGCTCTGGTATTGACCAGCACGGATACACGACATTGCTGTCATTGAGGGGAGTTCGAGCGGACCGCACTGGCCATGATAATGATTTATTATTTTTTATTTTTATTTTTATTTTAAGATTTTATTTATTTATTTGAGAGAGAGAGAGAAACAGCATGAGAGGGGATAGGGTCAGAGGGAGAAGCAGGCTCCCTGCTGAGCCGGGAGCCCAATGTGGGACTCGATCCCAGGACTCTGGGATCATGACCTGAGCCGAAGGCAGTCGCTTAACCGACTGAGCCACCCAGGCGCCCGATAATGATTTATTGTAGTGCTTCTGCATTCACTGTGTCATTCACGGTTCTTCCTGCCACTTGAGTAACTGTGACTGGTGCACCTCTTGTGCCCTGCATTTCTTTGTTGGCCTCACCTCACTTGTAGTAGACAGAATTCCTGAGCCAGTCCTGATGGTTGAGGCTTGGTGCCCTGCTACCTTGCCGGAGAATGGTTGAGCCTTGGAAAATGCCAGGTGTTCCGTGGGGATGCCACTGAAACTTGGTTTTCACGTCGCTCAGCAGTTTAGAGGGTTTTTGGCAGTATGTTGGGCGTTTTCAGCTTTTCCTCTTGTGGTGCATACTTAAAGAAGACGTAATTTGAAGTTTGGAGGGAGAAGAGAGTGTGTAGTTCTTATTGGAACTGTTTTTTTAGAGCCAGCTCCCTTCTGCTATGGTCACAGCAAGACTTTCCTTAACTTGCAGCCTCCTACCACCCTGGCTTTCAATTCTTACATGGATTTTCATGCATTTGTTTTCTCTTATATAGTGGAAATTTTTACAGTTTCGGGACCCTGTCATTAACTAATTGAGGGATGTATACATTTAGTAAGGTGATAATAAGATTCCTTACACTTTTTTTTTTTTTTTTTAATCACAGTAGTCTTAAACTCTTGTGGAGTTATGTTACGTCAGTCAGGTGCCCCCGTGCTCATCATCCTTCTTGACATGGTGGCTAAGAACTGCGGAAGCTCAGAGGAGCAAGTATCTGTTTGGATTGCCCACAGATATCCAGCTGATTTTTAAAAAATGCATGTCAATATAATTACCACAGGTTCCTGCTTAGTAATTGTGTCAAATTATATGCTGTAGTATTGTGTAACGTACAGAGGTTTGTTACGTTTTATATTTGTGGAAAAAAAAATTCTGTTTTTTTTTTTTAATTTTTTTTGAAAAGCCATTCTCAAAGCAAGCCGTAGAGCATGTGCAAAGTCACCTATCCAAGAAACAAGTGACATCAACTCTTTTCCAGGTAAGACAAAATTATTTCAAAATAAATGCTGTTGACCCTTGAAGAGCACAGGGATTGGGGCACTGACCCCCATGCAGTCAAAAATCCACGTATAACTTTTGGCTCCTGCCTCCAAACTTTGCTAATAGCCTTCTGTTGACCGGAAGCCTTACCGATAACATAAACAGTCGATTAACACAGATTTTATATGTTGTATGTATTATATACTGTATTCTTATAATAAAGTAAACTAGAGAAAAGAAAATGTCATTAAGAAAATTATAAGGAAAATACATTTCTAGTATTGTATGTAAAAAAATCAACGTGTAAGTGGAACCTGTGTGGTTCATACTTATGTGGTACAAGAGTCCCCGGCAGACTGTTTTCCATAAAGGGATGCGCACCACACAAGTGAGCCAGGAGCCCTTCATCCTGGCCTAGCCACGGATTTGCTCAGAGACCTTGGGAAAGCACCTGTCCAAAGTTCTGCAGCCTCCTGGGCAAAATGAGGAGAGGGATTAACTCTTCCCCATGGTTACCTTTAGCTCTGTGATTCCAAGGGGTAGAAAGTTCGTAAGTAAAATAGCTAATTAAAAAAAAATTTACTCCACGGATCCATTAGCTTTTAGTCTTTAAAACTCATATCAATGCTGATTATCAACACTTTTAGTCATTTACAAAATGTGCTACATAACTTCCAGGGCCCAGCACAGCATTAAAAAACTTGGGGCCCCTTGTTCAGAAATTCAGAATTTTAAGATGGGTTAGGCAGGGACACGAAACCAAGCCCTGGCTCTTCTGAGCATGAGCCCTGTGGGACTGCACGGGTCACACACCTGGAAAACCAACCATGGTCACTTGGGAAGCATCTGTGACTTTGCAGGAACCATGCCAGGCAATAGGGATGCCGGGGCAAACAGACGGACCTGTCCATACCTTCACAGAGCATGCAGTTGAGCTGTAGATAACTATTAAATAATCACAGTTATAAATCCGTTACTAAAAATTGGGCAAGTGCAAGAGTGGGAGCTGCGGGTCATCCGAGTCTCGTCAGTATGTGTTCTAGGTTCCTATTTATGCAGTGTGGGATTTCTTTTCCATCTCTTCCAGCCCTACATAGAAGAAATTTGTGAAAGTCTTCGAGGCAACATTTTCCAAAAGTTTATGGAAAGGTATGAAACTTCATGTATGTACATAACATTTTTTTGAGATATACTTGACGTCTAACGTTATATTAAAATAATAGTATATATATACTATATATATATATATATATAGAACAGCCCACAGCTGTTCTATAGGTTTACCTCATTTTACCCAATGGACGCTGTCCTTAAAATGGGTATCAGTTTGTTCTTGACAATGAATGTACTTACCAAGCATTTACTATGTGCCAGCCTTCATGTTACACTGTCACCTCAGTACTTTATTATTTAGGATTTGCATATCTTGGTGTCTCTTTGAATCTGTAGCTCTTTAGCTTCAAAATGGTCTAAAGTTTAAATAGACTATGGAACCACAGTATCAAGAGTATCTTATTGGGACACCTTTGCTAAGGCAAGCACGGTTCTATAACCTATCTAATTCATTTGTTTGCTTTTTGAGATCCTGTCCCCCAAGGTGGGACCAGATTGCACTTGATTCTTTATGTAATAGAATTTGAGGTTCTAGGCAGATGTCTGTGGTCACATATATTATTACTTTCCCTAATAAATGTGCCCCTTTGAGCTACTCAAACTGTATGTGTATGTTTGTCGTACGAAACCCCGAACATGTTCAGCGATGTCTGTGAAGGCGGCCGGCCCATATGCCTTTCCGGCCACCAGCAGTCCGTTCGCTGGGATTTCGAGTATCCCTCTGAGATCATGCACTCTTCAGCGGAATCTGCTTTCACACTGACTGTGCTCTTCTCCGCAAACTGGGCTAATTTCTAGACAATCGCCGTGATGATCGAGTCTCGGTGCTGGAGCAGCCCACAGCTGTTCAGTAATTGCCCCGTTAGAACAAATGCTGCTTCTCTGCGGTTTTTCCCTCCACTTATTCACAGAGCTAAAGTAATTAAAAAAGAAAAAAAAAAAACAGTTGTGTTATGATGCCACTAGAGTTCAAGAGATAATTTTATCCTGGAGTGGAGTCAGTACTTTGGGAAACTAATATGCATACAAATGATTACTACCTTTTTCTGAGTCGGAGCGGAGACTTTGCCAGAAAGCGGTGGCTCGCGTTGAGGGGGTAGGCTGGCTGTGTTTCAGCGGGGTCCGGCCTGCCCTGGCTCCAGTGCTGTTGGTTCAGAATTCTGACCTCTCCCAGCTCTTGGGGTCAGCCGAGCTTCTAGGTGATCGTTGGGAAAGGGGGGAGAAATGGGGATGGGAGTTAACAATGAGGGAGGGGGTCTGGTAGCTTGTTCTTGGCTGACTGGCCACCTGGTCAACCTGCATGTCCTTTTGTCCCACTAGGTGAGCCTTCTGCTCTTACTGCCACAAGAAATCTAAGCTGTTTGTGTTTTAGGCAAGCAGGTACACTGGATTTTCTGAAGCCATTAACCATGTTATGTAAATTATTTTCAAAGCGAATTTCTTCATTTTTATCTGTTTTGCATTCTTTTCGTGAAATAACTCTCAGAAATGCTCAAAATATAATTTTATTTTACTAACCTCACAGAGATGATAGGGAGATCAATGAAACACTCTGTAAACATCATTTTCGATTCACTGACAAAAGATGCTGCATAATTACAAAGAGTTCTTCTGCTTTTGATTTTCAACTTGACTGTATTAGCCTCAGAAATATTTTTAAAAGATCCTTAGATGGCATATAATTTTTTTTTGTCTTTTTATTGCCATATAATATAGTATTTGTTTCAGGGGTACAGGTCTGTGATTTATCAGTCTTACACAATTCACAGCGCTCACCATAGGACATACCCTCCCCAATGTCCATCACCCAGCCACCCATCCCTCCC